CCGGGAGGTAGTGGAAGACAGGAAGGCCTGGCGTGTTCTGGTCCATGGGGTCACGAAGAGTTGGACACGACTAAACGACTGAACAACAACTAAAGCTGTTACCCGGTGTTTTAATTCTTCTATAGTTTCAACAATCCTTTTCCTTTCCAGGTCATATATTTTGCATAGTCTGGCTTTTTACTTTTTCATTTTTAAGTTTTGAAACTTCCAAGTGTTTGAAGCTGCTAATGTCTGCATGTAATTTGTTTATTATTGTTGTTGTTATTACAGTATTGTTATTACAGTAATGTTATTATTGTTATTGTTGTTGTTGTTGTTGTTGTGATGATGATGATGATGATGATGATGACGATGATGTCGTTTATCTAAAATCCTGTAGTGCTGTAGCATAAAAATGCAACTGCTAAGTAGCAACAAAACTGATAACACCCCTCCCCCCCTTCCATGGTCCTCAACAGGGAAAAGTGGCTACTGTAGTCTGGACTGTGGCTAGTAGGCTCGCGTGGGTGAGGGGAGGGCTCTGGGAGCTACAGAGGTTGTGGGAGGGGAGGCCAGGAGGAGGAGGAGGAGGAGACGAAAAAGAACTTTTCTGAATGGGGAGACCATTCCCCCCCTTTCCCTCCGGACTTCATTCCCCCTGGTAATTCCCACCCCTCCTCCCGGATGGTACAACCCTCCGTCTTTGGTCTTGCTCCCCAGCCACCCCCTCCACCACCCCTTCCGTTTCGGCCAGAATGGTACGTTCCCCACCTGACCCGCTCCCGCTCGCCTCCCTCCCGCTCGCCCGCTCGTTCGTCGCGCGCAGAGCCCGTCCGTCGGCCGTGCGCCGCGCCTGCGCAGTGGCGTTTCCCCGGGGGAGGTGTTTCCTCCAGCTGAGGGACTGTTGACAGCCGTGAGGGGAGGAAGAGGAGGAGGAGGAGGAGGAGGAGGACGGGCGGACGGACAGACAGACAGACGGGCCGGCGGAGGCGGAGGGGCAGGTAGAGCTTCGCCGGCTGTTCTTCCCTCAGGGCTTCTCCTCCCCCCCTCCTCTAATTGTGAGGCAAAGGCGGGGGGAGGGGGGGAAGAGAAGGAGAAGAGAGAAACCCCCCCTCGCTCCAGG